AATATATATATATATAAATGAATTAATTACATTTTTGTGTGATATATTTGTTGTACTAATGTTAAGTTTGGGTTTTGTAAGATAGTTTGATTATAAAAAATACAGTAAAAACAACAACAAAAACAATTTTGTGAAATATTATTACAATTTAGAATAACTGTATTCTATGTAAATATATTTCAAAATGTAATTTGTCAAAAATTGACACAATAATTTGTGTCAAAGCTGTGTTTTTAATAGCCATTACTCCAGTCTTCAGAAATCATTCTAATATAACAGGTGTGCTGCTTAATATTTTTGTTGAAATTGTGTTTTTTTTTTTTTTTCAGGATCCCTTGATAAATAGGAGGTTCAAATGAACAGTTTTTGTTTGAAATATATTTTTTATTATTAATTTAATGTGCCCTTGCTGAATAAAAATATTAATTTCTTTACAAAATATATCTTACTGAGTCCAAACTTTTGAACAGTAGTGTATAATACATGTATGTATTATATATTATATTATGCTGAAAAGTAAATTGATCATTGCTAGTTTTAAAATCTGACTGATTTTGTAATAATTTTGTAATGCTCTTTTAAAGGTGACTCAATGACGTATCACCACGGCCGTCCATTCTCAACCTACGATAATGACCACGATATAGCTGTCACCAACTGTGCTCTGTCTTATAAGGGAGCTTTCTGGTACAAAAACTGTCATCGAGTGAATATAATGGGCCGATACGGAGACAACAGTCATAGCAAGGTACAAATTTCATATGTGCTTTATCACCTGTCTAATAATACACAGTAGTCACAGATTTAGATTTAAAATGGTTTTATCTCCAGGGTGTAAACTGGTTCCACTGGAAGGGTCATGAGCATTCCATCGAGTTTGCAGAGATGAAGATCAGGCCCGCCAACTTCAGGAATTTTGAGGGAAGGAGAAAGCGATCGTAAACCAGTGCACTCCGGCTTGAACCAACCAACCAACCCTCCTCTGCTGACCATTCGCCCCTTGTTTCTCCTGCATAATCTCATCCCCTTCATCTACCAAAGCCACTGCCAGGAGCCCAGCCTGCTCTTTACACTCTCCTATTCATGGAGAACAAGTACAAAAAAATGTTTTCACCCCCTCCCTTCCCATTCAAAGCTACAGCCCATACACAGTTGTGTGTGTACCACTTCTGTGCACGTCAATCTGACAGTAAACCAATAGACTCATAGTGAAGTGTTTAACATTACACACTGTGCCTGTACATCATAAGCACACCAAAGACAGACACTCCAGTAACATCTATATAATAGGCTACAATGCCGATGGAGGGAAGATTTTGAGTTTGGCTTGGTGCTATCCAGTTAAAAAAAATAACAAATTATTCTTTCTGTATATCCCATACAATTACAGTGGAGAGAGTTGAATGTTTGTGTGTGGTAGTTTTGCATTAGAGCCTCTTCCATAGGCTGTGAATTAGCCTCAAGAATACTGTATCCTTTAACTTCTCAATTAGGGTGAGAGGTTTAATGGTACATGATAAAAACTCAGCATTTAAAATGCACGACTGCATAAAAAATATCTAGTGGGGAGGCTCAGAGATTTTTTTTTATCTCTTTCTAGTCTGTCTGTGACAAATCTAAGTACCCATGCTCTCTGTTTTCTCTCTCCCACAACTCGTGCATTCATCAGTTCTGAAGTCAAGTGGCACGTTTCTGGTACCTTTACAGTACTACTAAGTGTTAATTTATATGCACCTTTCGTCGTGTTTCCTGTACCCTATAACTATATTGGCATTCAGTCAGCATAAGAATCTTGAATTGTTGATTGTTATCCTCTAAAAGATTGAAATGAAACAAAAGTTAAGGCAGGACCAATCTTCAATCTTTGGTTTAAGTGTTCACCAGTTATCAGCTTGTATAACGTTCAAGATTCATAAAGGAAAAGTAATGGTGAGGTTATTGGAATTATTGTAAACATAGCCTCATATGAAAGTTCTGTTTGCAAAAAAAGAATTAATATACAGAGTAAGTCTTCGTGTTCACCCCTACCCTGCTATCGACTAAACCACTGAACCCTATACAATACCTGTGTAAATTATGTCTTGTTTTGGTATTTGAATATTTTTGTTTGTTTGTTTATTAAATGGGTGTACAACAGGTGTTTCTTTGTAACCCCTCTTACAATAAAACAGATTTTGTTTAATAAATCACGTTTGTGGAGTGTGCTTATTTGGACACTCAAAACGAGCCAAATGTAACACTTACAACTTCCACGTGTATTCAAAACAGCCATTTCCTAAGTGCACACAAACAAACTGCTGCTGCAGTTTTTCAGTTATGCACGGCAAAGTGCGATCACCCATTTATTGAGTTCGACCCAATAATAAGAGACCATTTTGTCACTGTACCAATCCTGGACCACGGTAGCCAGGTAAAAGCGGAGGGGGAGAACTGTTTTTTTTTCATGGATGGGATAATGAATGTATGTATTTTAATTTATTTTATTTTAATTTTAATGTGCATGTTTCATGACCTCCCAAACTGTTTGGAAATAACGTCACGGCTGTGACTGTCTACAATCAAAACACAACAGTGATGTTTCCTCGGTGTCCTCTGTGTGCTCGTTCTACTGTTCCCGCACACTGTTTCCGCTTATCTTTTTGTCATCTTATAATATTTACTATATTTACTGGTATTGATCACAGGATCGATTTGAAGGTTTGGAAGGCTTTGCCGACTGCGCCATAGGCCTTTTATGCTTTTGAGGATATGTGGTACATTAGCTTGCTTAATATATTTTTATGAAAAAATTCACTTAAATGATAATCAAATTCAAATTTGAGTTGTATCTGGATATTGATGATTGAACTTGTAGGAATTACAGTTTTAGACAAACAGACTCACCATCGGATTCTGTTCCCCCTGTGTTTCTTATACAGGCAGGTTCTAACATTTTTCACACTGATGCTGGTGAACTAATAGCCCTTTTTTTAATCATATTATAATGTTTATTAGCCTATATATCAGAATCAGAATGAGCTTTATGAGCTTTATTGCCAGGTATGTTTACACATACGAGGAATTTGTTTTCGTGACAGAAGCTTTTTGTCATCTTATAATATTTACTATATTTTTAGGTATTGATCACAGGATCGATTTGAAGGTTTGGAAGGCTTTGCCGACTGCGCTGTATATGTTTGAAATATGAATTCAAATAAATGTACAACGTAGTTCTACCTCTAACAAATATATTTTTCTTGTGTGTGCTTCTCAATCTCAGTTTAAAATAGTTATAGTAATAGTTATATATATATATATATGTACAGAGCCGATCCTCCCTATACGCACAATACTTTTTATAGTGCTTTATGCAATATGCAATTGTGACAAAGCAGCTTTACAAACAGGCAAACTGTGTGTTTAACTTACCTGAAGTACTTACCTGATCTCCATCGTCAATCTCCCTCGTTGTCTCCTTCATTAAGTTCCTTTAAAGACCTTTCTACGTGCCAGGATTGTGGTGTGTGAACTTACCTGTGTGTGCATGTCCGTAAATGCCTGCTTTTGGGTACCAAATATCTCTGTCTGGTAGTTCCTAGCAACAGTATCAGCAAGCTTGGCTGTAAATATGAAGAGCTTATAATGAAAAAAATATATCCTTTTAAAATTATTGATTTGGTTCCACAGATTACCTTTTTTTTTTTAATTAATATTATTGTTATTTTTATTTGTCCATATTTGTTTCTAATATAATATTTTTATTTAGCACTACTGTTATTTTTATATATAAACTTATGTTCTGAGTCTTGCTACTAAAATGGTGTAATTTGGGGTGTTTTTTAAAGGTCTAAATTCTAAAATATATAGTTGTGCTCAAAATTATTAATACCCTTGGTAAATATGATCAAAGAAGGCTGTGAAAGTAAATCTGCATTGTTAATCTTTTTGATATTTTATTTAAAAAATGTACAAAAACCTAACCTTTCACTGGAAAATAATGTTTTTCTCTAATACACATTGGCCACAATTTATCATACCCTTTATTCAGCACCTTTTGCAACCTCCTTTTGCCAAGATAACAGCTCTTGAGTCTTCACCTATAATGCCTGATAAGTTTGGAGAACATCTGACAAGAGATCAGAGTCTATTCCTTCATCCAGAATCACTCCAGACCCTTCAGATTCACAGCTCCATGTTGGTGCTTCTCCACTTCAGTTCACCCCACTCATTTTCTAGGGTTCAGGTCAGAGGACTGGGACAGCCATGGCAGATGCTTCATTTTGTGCTCAGTGACCCATTTTTGTGTTGATTTTGATGTTTGTTTTGGATTATTGTCCTGATTTTCGTTTTGAAACCCTCCCAAACAGCATGTGGTGATGTAGGTGCTATTTGATCATTTGTTTTTTTGTTTTTTTGAGGCCTTCTGACCCCAAGACTCCACTAATCTCTGCAATTCTCCAGCTGTGATCCTTGGAGAGTCTTTGCCCACTCAAAGTCTCCTCCTCACCATGCATTAGAACGATATAGACACACGTCCTCTTCCAGGAAGATTTGTAACATTTTCTGTTGATTGGAACTTCCTAATTATTGCCCTGATGGTGGAAATGGGAATTTTCAATGCTTTAGCTCTTTTCTTAAATCCACTTTCTAATTTGTGAAGTTCAACAATCTTTTGCTGCACATCAGAACTATATTCTTTGGTTTTACTCATTGTGATGAATGATGAAGGGAATTTGGCCCTTGTCTTCCCTAATATATTCATGTGAAACAGGAAGCCATGGCTGGATAATTTCATGTTCCTAACCCTGGTGTGATAAAAATGCAAATATGAATGAGAATATACTTCAGATATATTTTAATCAGAAGAATTTCTAGGAGTATCAAATTGTAGCCATTGTGTAATAGAAAAATATTTATTTCATAATGTGGTTTCCCCCCACTTTCATTGTTTTTTAGTTTGTTTTTTTTTACTTCAATTAAAGGTTAGATTTTTTGGACATTTTTGAATGAAAGATCATATGGATAAACAATTCTGATTTATTTTCACAGCCTTCTTTGATCATACTGTATATACACTCTAAAAAATGCTGGGTTGTTTCAACCCAACTTTGGGTCAAATATGGACTAACCCAACAGTTGGGTTAAATTTTTACATTAAATTTTTAACCCAACAGTTGGGTTAGTCCATATCTGACCCAAAGTTGGGTTGAAACAACCCAGCATTTTTTAGAGTGTATATACAGTATGATCAAAGAAGGCTGTGAAAATAAATCAGAATTGTTTATCCATATGATCTTTCATTCAAAAATGTCCAAAAAATCTAACCTTTAATTGAAGTAAAAAAAAACAAACTAAAAAACAATGAAAGTGGGGGGAAACCACATTATGAAATAAATATTTTTCTATTACACAATGGCTACAATTTGATACTCCTAGAAATTCTTCTGATTAAAATATATCTGAAGTATATTCTCATTCATATTTGCATTTTTATCACACCAGGGTTAGGAACATGAAATTATCCAGCCATGGCTTCCTGTTTCACATGAATATATTAGGGAAGACAAGGGCCAAATTCCCTTCATCATTCATCACAATGAGTAAAACCAAAGAATATAGTTCTGATGTGCAGCAAAAGATTGTTGAACTTCACAAATTAGAAAGTGGATTTAAGAAAAGAGCTAAAGCATTGAAAATTC